ACAGGGAGGGGACAGGGAGAGGACAGGGAGGGGACAGGGAGGGACAGGGAGAGGACAGGGAGGGGACAGGGAGGGGACAGGGAGGGGACAGGGAGAGGACAGGGAGGGGACAGGGAGAGGACAGGGAGGGGACAGGGAGGGGACAGGGAGGGGACAGGGAGGGGACAGGGAGAGGACAGGGAGGGGACAGGGAGAGGACAGGGAGGGACAGGGAGGGGACAGGGAGGGGACAGGGAGAGGACAGGGAGGGGACAGGGAGAGGACAGGGAGAGGACAGGGAGAGGACAGGGAGGGGACAGGGAGGGGACAGGGAGAGGACAGGGAGGGGACAGGGGAGAGGACAGGGAGAGGACAGGGAGAGGACAGGGAGGGGACAGGGAGGGGACAGGGAGAGGACAGGGAGAGGACAGGGAGGGGACAGGGAGAGGACAGGGAGGGGACAGGGAGGGGACAGGGAGAGGACAGGGAGGGGACAGGGCGGGATGGGGAGGGGGACAGGGAGGGGACAGGGAGGGGACAGGGAGGGGACAGGGAGGGGACAGGGAGAGGACAGGGAGGGGACAGGGAGGGGACAGGGAGAGGACAGGGAGGGGACAGGGAGAGGACAGGGAGGGGACAGGGAGAGGACAGGGAGGGGACAGGGAGGGGACAGGGAGGGGACAGGGAGGGGACAGGGAGGGGACAGGGAGAGGACAGGGAGAGGACAGGGAGAGGACAGGGAGGGGACAGGGAGAGGACAGGGAGGGGACAGGGAGAGGACAGGGAGGGGACAGGGAGGGGACAGGGAGGGGACAGGGAGAGGACAGGGAGGGGACAGGGAGAGGACAGGGAGAGAGGACAGGGAGAGGACAGGGAGAGGACAGGGAGGGGACAGGGAGGGGACAGGGAGAGGACAGGGAGGGGACAGGGAGAGGACAGGGAGGCGGGACAGGGAGAGGACAGGGAGAGGACAGGGAGGGGACAGGGAGGGACAGGGAGGGGACAGGGAGAGGACAGGGGGGGACAGGGAGGGGACAGGGGAGGGACAGGGAGAGGACAGGGAGGGGACAGGGAGGGGACAGGGAGGGACAGGGAGAGGACAGGGAGAGGACAGGGAGGGACAGGGAGAGGACAGGGAGAGGACAGGGAGGGGACAGGGAGGGGACAGGGAGGGACAGGGAGGGACAGGGAGGGGACAGGGAGAGGACAGGGAGAGGACAGGGAGAGGACAGGGAGGGGACAGGGAGGGGACAGGGAGAGGACAGGGAGGGGACAGGGAGAGGACAGGGAGAGGACAGGGAGAGGACAGGGAGGGGACAGGGAGGGGACAGGGAGAGGACAGGGAGAGGACAGGGAGGGGACAGGGAGAGGACAGGGAGGGGACAGGGAGGGGACAGGGAGAGGACAGGGAGGGGACAGGGCGGATGGGGAGGGGGGAGGGAGGGACAGGGGGACAGGGAGGGGACAGGGAGGGGACAGGGAGAGGACAGGGAGGGGACAGGGAGAGGACAGGGAGGGGACAGGGGGGAGGGAGGGGACAGGGGAGGGGACAGGGAGGGGACAGGGGAGAGGACAGGGAGGGACAGGGAGGAGACAGGGAGGGGACAGGGAGGACAGGGAGGAGACAGGGAGGGGACAGGGAGAGGACAGGGAGGGGACAGGGCGGATGGAGAGGGAGTGACTCTGGCCTCTTGTCTCAGATTACATAACACATTTTACAGCTCTGCTTTCACAGTCGATCATATGGGCATGACCACGTGACCATGTCGCCACAGGACTAGTTTAACATCCCAGAGGTATGACAATGCTTTTGCTCATTATTTGGGTCATTTTTGGGTTATTTTTGGATTATTTTGGGGTGGGCGGGAGCAGCACTCATCCTCCACAGGTGATTGGTAGCACGCACTGTCCAATCACAGCGCGCCTCCAAAGTGGCTTGCTGGTCACTTTGAGTCGCTTCAGGTCTCTGTCTGTCTCTCTAAAGTGTGACATTTTTCATGCAAACTTGGATATACGTCTGATTTGGACCGTTTTACGGAGTTTGGGCTGGATCGCGACACTTTAAGGAGGAAAGAGTAGAGGAAATCCCTCTGATCTGAGTCTGTGCCTGGTGAAGAGGGGCTAGCTGGCGTTAGCATGGAGAGAACTGCCTTTACCCACGTCTCAAAACGATCAGCAAGAACCAGGCAAGTTGAAATTCACACATATATTAGTCTTTTCCCTGTTTGACATTTCTGGGTGGACAAATTCGCTTTTGGATGCGCGGCGAGTTAGTTTTGAGGTCACGAAACAGTCGCTGTGTAAAAAAGTGCTAGCTCTGAATGTAAATGGCGTAGTCCAGGTCAGGAAGCAGCAGCAGAAGCAGTTTCTTCCTTAAATAAACACAGCTGTGCAGAAAAGGGAAACGCCAGCTTGAAATGTGGTGTGAAAACCTTGCCAAAGCTGCCTTGTAATCGCCTACTTACCCGTGCATGCTTGTCTAGTGCGATTTGGTAAAGTAGGATCGTGTCTTAGTTAATTCTGTTTTCTTCTTTTTTCCCTTCACAAATGTGCACGATGCTGATGCAACTAAACTTGTGCAACACCTCCCCACGACTTTCACCGAGCTGCATAGTGCAATCTTTATAATGTGTTGGAAAAATAAATTGTATATATATAATTTCTTTTATTTTTATTTTTACAATGACTGCGTGGGTGTGTTGCAAATCTGGGTTGAGTTAATCCAAGTAGCATGACTGTAATGCACAAAATAATCTCCCATAACAAGACTATACATTAAAGAAAGTCTTGTGGATGCCTCTAATGTTGATTATTTGTAATGTGTCTGAGTTAATGGGGTTTAAATGTAATTGTTTGCAGGCCCGTGTTATGGCTGACAGACCTGAGCCCCTTTCTCCCCAATGGATAATAATGTCACTCCACATCTGGATCTTATTTCTGCAAGAATCTCCTCACAGACCCAAAGGTTCGTCATTTCTTCTGCCTTCTAATCACTAACAAGTTTCAATTAACAAACTTAAATTGTGGACGCATTATATTTAAATGTGTCTTTCATTGAATTGTTCACTATACAAATTGACTATAAATAACACACAATTAAGCTGTCAAAGGAAATCTTTGCTTTTAGAGCTGTTGGTCTGTGGTCATTTAGCTGATGCAAATATGTATTTCATATGTATTTAATTATAAACGATGTATCTAAGAAAAATGTAAAGGGTATAAGAAAAGCAGCAAACTACTTCAAGATTTGACATTTTTTAGTTATTTTAAAGGCAATCTCATGATTTGTAAGTTTAATTCACACTGTCATATCTTACAGAGGGTAATACCCAGTTTGTTGACCAATAAATCAACTTTAGTGGACCAAGAATTGTAAAGAACTTTTCCCTCAAATTATCAACTTAACCATTGTTTTGAATGGGGCTGTCAAACGATAAAACATTATTTTGTTGATTAATCGCACAGTAATGGTGAGTCAACTCACGATTAATCGCATTTTTAACATTCTATTTCAAATCCACTCCAATTGAATTTTAATGAGATTATCAAATGTAATGACACATTCATACCAAATGTACTTAAATTTGTTAGATGCACAGGTTGCAAAGACACGAACACAACATGCAGAGAATAGTCCTGTGGCGTGTATGGTCTTATATGACCACATCACCGCGGCGCCGTTCACCGTGTTCTGAACCGTGAGCCGCTAACAACCAGAGCGGCCGCAGCTGCTCCCGGGACGTGCCCGGGAGGTGGACTTCAGTTCATAGACTGTAGCCCTGTGGTCACGCGCGTATTCTTTTAAAACCTGAATTCCCAGAGACCTGCTCTGTTGCCATCTCACACATGTGTGCGCAGCATTCTGAGTGATAATATGGATAAATGGGCGGGTCATTCAGACATGCGTTAATGCTTTTTATTTTTTATTTTACGTGTTTATGAAAAATATTATTAATGTGAGCTAACGTGATAATTTTGACAGCCCTAGTTGTGAATGTTGCGTACATCTGGAGCCTAGTTTTTTTTTTATACAGCTGAGGGAAGTAATACTAGTAAACATTTGTTTTTTTTCTTGTAATGTACATTCTTGGATCAGGTGACTTTATAGAAATGTGAATATGTAAAATTGTTTTGGCAAACTGGTCCTTGCTCTCAATTTATAGATTGTAATTTTCTAGCATTGGAGTGGTTCTGCACACCTCAACACCACTTACTCATATTGTCTAATTTAGGATTATACAATTTGCTGCACTATTGTAAGCACGTTTGGCATACCCTTTAGACATTCTTATTGTTCATATTAGCTTGAATCAAATCTAGGGCTGTACCTCAGAGCAGGCTTTTACCTAGTTTCATGACAAAATAGATCTGTAGTGTTCCTACATCAGTGTGCTCCATGTTCGATGAAGTAACATACTTTCACCACACGGCGGCGGTATTTGCAAACCAATCAATGGGGATGTGACCGTTTGATATGTCTTAATTGAAATTTCACATGACGCTTGCCTTGTCGCCTTGTTCTGCAGTTCCCAACGCCCTTCATTGATTCTTGCTATAAAAGAAAGACTTATAGTTCCATTAAAATATACCATTTGTGCTGCAAACTCTATGAATAATAATAAAAAAGACTGCAACGTACTAGGATCCTTATTGTAGACTTGGGTGACTGAAATTACTTTTATTTCCAACCTTAAAGCTATTTTATGTTAGTAGAATATAAATGTTGGAAGATGGCTTTGCCTTCTTGCTATCTGCAAAGGACATGCATCTGACTTTTGATATCATTGATTATTTATATTGGATCACATCCAAATAACAATGAATGGAACTGTCTACTTCATTTTAGTTTGAGTTTTTTGCTTGTTTTCTGAGTAGAAATCATTATTAGGCTGGGTCCGTCTGTTTTGAACGTCTGAAATTGTATACATAATGTCATTCGTGCGTCAGTGTGTGTCGGACCTATTAAAAGAAGTTGATCCGCATCCCACTCTCTGCATCCTGATCCATCAGCCCCCTCCTCCTCACGGACCCCAGGGCCTGGGCTGTGCGCATGCGCGCTCCGCTGCGTGGGAATGGCTGGAGCCGTGCGCGAGGGGCTGGGCCGCTAGAGCAGAGCGCAGCGCGGTGTGACTCTGTAATGTCCGCCATGTTGGCCATGGCGTGTTGAACCGGGGAGAGCAGCGGAGCCTGTGGCAACAACACACCGACAGAGAGCGACCGAGACCCGGCCTGCGCGGCTCTGTGCGCCGCTGAGGACCCGAGCCTTCCGTGAACAGAGCGGCGGACTCCCGGAGACCCACAGACTCCATGAGCTCTAGAGGCAGGGCTGATCCTGTTATTAGCAGATCCAGTAGATTTATGCTGCGGATTTAACGTCAGAATGAGTAAACTGTCGTTCCGGGCGCGGGCTCTGGATGCTAGTAAGCCTCTACCCGTCTTCCGCTGCGAGGATCTGCCTGACCTGCACGAGTATGCCTCTATCAACCGGGCAGTGCCGCAGATGCCCACCGGGATGGAGAAGGAGGAGGAATCGGTATGTTTGAGTGCCGTGGCCGGGCGTCCACAGCCCAGAGCCGCGGTCTTTGCCTGCGCAGCCTGTGCAAAATGGCCGCCATGTTTGACGGTCCGTGTATTCGACAGAACTCGACATAAACGCGGGTTAGCTCCTCTGCTGTTGTGTTAGTGCGTTTATTAGGACACACTAAAGCTGTGTTTGGTCAGTTATCTGGGTTTGCTGCATTGGTTTGGGCTCAGTTTGCGGTCGAAGGCACAAAGAAGTCACGTGACCCTTCGTGCGCTCCTCCATTTTGTTTCCTCTCGTGGTGCGGACCCAGGACGTGCTGCACTTCCCGTGACCAGCGCCAGGGGGAGCCCGCGAGCCCAGGCCGTCTGTGACAGCTCCGAGGCGGCGTGATGACAGCCCCAGCCCGGGCCATGTGTGCAGCTGTTATAACCAAGGAGTCTGTACCTTTGACCTGTGGGGTGATAAAGAATGCATATTAGGGCAGTTTGGCAATTTGTTTTCAAGCATTACATATTTTACACACTCACTCTGTCCTTTTCGAGATGGACCCGGCTTATATTTAGTTGCTTTGGTGTAATCTTTGTGGGCAATAGAAGTGAATTACTGGCACTATATCTTGTATCAAGAATAATAGAATGTTGCTGATTGTATTAATTATAAAGTTGTTTTAGTGACATGACATTATATACTTTGACTCTTGGGACTGCTTTTTATGCTAGAGTTGGAGATTTTTATATTATTTAGTATAGAATGATTTATTTCTCGTACTACTCATTCCTACTGTAACTGGTGATGCAACACTGAAATGTCCCGCTGTGGGCCGTCCAAAGGATAGATTAATCTTAATCATCAAAGCATTGTGCTATTCCTTACTGGGAGTACCGTTTGATTGTTGGCACACAGACATCCCCAGTTGTGCATTTTTTTGTAAACATGGCGGTTGACGTGACTTATTCAGTCTCTAATGTATGGCAAACGTATGGATCAGCATGTTGACATCGGTTTTGATAAAGCCAGAGATCACATAATATGATGTTGTACAAATCATTGATGCTCATGTGTCTCTTTTGACAGTTGTCACTATTATGTTGTCTTGGTGGATAGTTGGTTAAAGTGTATTCATGATTTATCACAAACTGTGATAAATCATTTTCTGTCATTATTTCCCTTAAGTTTTCTTCAAAGCCTGTATGCATGTCATTTCTCCCGATGTTGGATCATTTGTTTTCATTGACACTTACACTTGTTGTTGACATGTTCCGGATTGCTACTACTTCCCCACTTGTTTAGACGTCACACCATTTAAGCAGATTATCTGCTCTTCCACCTGGACCTTTTGAGGAGAATTCATAATGACATCAGTCACACTGTCATGCTGAGGAGCCAGTACAGTGTTTCTGTATCCAGATAGCCCTATGGCGATGCAAGGATTCTTTTGTGGTGAATACTTCTTTTGTTGTGTAAATTATGGCGGTCAAAATGTGACTAAAAGGCATTATTTTGGAAAACATGTATTTTCTCTGAACTGTTTGGGATTTGGAATTTATATACGAACTAGCTTGAAAGCCCTGTCAGTACACCTTTAATTATACACATGTGGCTTTTATAGTCTAGATAAACATTGTCTGTGTCATAGCTATGAAATTTCCACAGGATTTAAAAAAAATAGCTGTGTCCATTCAAGAATATTCTGGTTTTGATTAATGTGATGCTTTTGATAAGTTGTAGTGAGATATTTGAGTACATATTGTCTTAAGTGGGTCCAAAGCTGCCTGAAAAACCAGACTACAATAATAATGACATGAATAGATGAAAGCAAACCTGTGGAACATTCATTTAGTGGAATATATGAATTAAAAAATGATAAATGCTAATGCACTGATTATCTTGCTGTTTTGTGATGAGTCTAGTGCTTTTGGACCAGGGTCGTCCTGATTCCTGGCTCTTGGGTGTTTAAAGTATTGTCAAATTAATCACCCGTTATATATTTTCATGTGTTTGTAGTAATAATTAATTATTGCATCTCTAAAAGAATTGTTAGAAAACATGGCTACACTAAATAATGATATGATTTCCACTTTAAGATAAAATGTACCCTTTCGTTCCTCAATGTCAAAGCTGGGCACATTACAGCAGAGTAACAGGATAAATAATATCACTCAGGTTATGCACACAAGTGTATGTGCTAGCATGAAGTTGGTTAACTTTCTTATTATACATCTTGTAACATTTGTACAAGGAATCTGGTTCATGAATCATTTAGCTCCCAATAAGTGGTTCAGAGCTGAAACGGTTACTCAGTAGAATACTCTGCTACTAAAGTATTTGATGGCTTCATCTCTGGTATGTTCATAACATAACATTTTCTGTCTCGACAGTCTCTTTGAGAAGCTTTGATTTTCTCTGGGACAGATTCAGTCTCGAGTCCTCAGCAGATGGAAACAGACGGCCCCCATGGAGTCAGCAAAAAGCCCCTCCCTCCGCCCTTCTCCTGTACACACTGGCAGCTCAGGCATTACATAACGGAGTGACAGGAGAGATAAAGAGGACAGTTTTACTACAGGCTCTGCTCGCTTTAGCCCCCTGACCCACATCCTGTCTGCCCATATGAGGAATTACTACTGACCACATGGACACGCAGGCGGCCGGCAAACGGGAAATCAACTCTGATTTTATTTAAGGTGGCTGCAATACTGGGAAATACGGAGGCTTCTTATAGAAGATTCTGTATTTTGCTTTGATATTTTTGTGTTTTTGATGCACATAGCAGTATATCAATCACCATTTAAGCTTTATCTTATTTTAAGGTTAATTTGGGCTGATAAATGAGGATGGGCGTTTGGGATGTTATTTCACCAGGTTTGTTGAACTAAATGGCTCTCCCATCTCTGGCTGGAGTAACAGTATGTCCATGTAGTAGTCAGTGATATAAATGTGACCCCAGGATAGTTTTTATGGATTGTTACAGCCCAGACAAGTGTTAACTACTTTGGTCCATGACTACAGTATGATGCTGTACATTTGATGAGGATTGTATGCATGTAGTCGCACCAAGTAATGCTCAGTTTTAACGGGAAATATTTATTGTAGGGCTGTCAAAATTATTGCGTTAACACACGTTAATAAAAAAAAAATCATTAATTGCAACTGTGCCGTTTGTTGAAATACATTGGAATCCTGACTTGCTCCCTTAAGTGGTTTTTTTCTACCGTTTTAGTGATTTTGTGTCATATTGTGTGGTAAGCTCTCGTGATAAAACACATTTCTTTGATGTGCTCTTTGACAAGTGATGTTAAGTCTCATTAATCACCTGGGAAATGTGATCTCTCCTAATCAAAAGTCAAAAATGTATATTGTGAAAAATAAATCTTATGGGGCATCTATTGACATTGATCCAGCCTCTTTTGAGTTCCAGAGTTGCTCTTGCATCTCTGCACCAGATAAAGCAATCTTCCCAGAGTTCATTTTGGATGTAGGCCTAGTGTGATCTCATGTCTTTTATTACGTTAGTGCATTTGGTGTTCATTATGACGTAGAACATTTCATCCTTTGTCTCAGTGCTGGGCCGAAGCAGAGAGTGGACATGGCACTAAAATCATAATAGTACAATGTGCGGCTGATTAACTGCCATTTTTATATATAATTGCAATCGGATGAGTAACGCTCCTGTCGAAAATAAGTCGCTGGAAAGGCCCTTCTTTCCTCCATTAGAAAATTGCTGAAGTTATCTTAATTTCCAAAATGGCCTGAGGAAAGCAGAGTGTGGAGGCAGTGCCACAGCAGTAATGAACTGAGCGCAGCTACTTTACATTTACATTGGACTTTTGAAGGATGAACACTCGAGGACTTCTAATCACAAAGAGAAATGGTAAACAACTACTTCAAAGCATATTTAAAGTTTGCAAAGAGATGGTGCTTCATCTGCTCGTCTGTGATTATTGCATCTAAGGTAGCAGTAATTGCGGGGGAGATTAAGATTAACTGGTGAAAGATCGAGATGTTGCCATATTGTCTTCGCCAGATACAAGTAGACTCACAATTATAAGATCTCCAAGTCTGTGTCTGCTCCAAAAATATATTGGTATTCTGCAATCTGCAAGTTCTGTTATAATAAATGTCCCATTCCTACATTCAGCTAATGATCTGGTTTGTCATCAACCATAAAAGGGGTTCATTTTTTAGACGTTATTGCTTAAAGTGTTGTGCTAAAGTAAGATGCAGTTAAATTACACCACTCAATTATCGTCAAGCATACTCATCAAAATGTTTGTCCATGAACGTGACAACTATTGAATCCTTTTGATGACTCCTAAACCGTTTTCCCGGCCGCCATCCTGTTGCTAAATAATCAGAGATAATATTCTGCAGCGCAGGCACAGATAAAGAAAACATCCCTCACCTTGTTGTCTGTTCACAAAAGCTGCGTGATGACTCATTGAACATCGCCACTCATTCAAAACACCTGCTTTAGTTTCCATGGAGACGTCATATTTCTTCCTCCTCAGCATTTAAGAAACTGCCCTGTGGAAGTGAACCCTCTGCATCAGTGACCCACAGACACAAGTGCCCTTTGCTTTTATCGCAACAAGGACAGAGGCTTCAGTTTAATCTAACTTTGCAGAATCTGAGATACAATTCTTCACCACTTGTTATAAATGCAAACTTTAAACGTATAGCATCAGTTGTAAACGCTCACTATCTGTGTTCAAGTCAAATAATGGTTTAACTTGGAGCTGATGTGTTCAAATACAACTAAATGGTGTATTTTATATTCGTTGTATCTTGAATTGAGCTGCAGCTAAAAATAATATTTTCTCATAGATTGAAGTTTTGGTTTTTGATTAATTGGCAAAATTCTGTGCTGTTTTGTTATTTGCCCTTTAATGGGGAGTCATACTTTATTGGAACTGTTACATTTTCCTATTTGTCTTAAAGCTGCACTTTGAGAAATGTTCAAATGTGAGCGCTGGGCTCGCTCTTTTTGCTCGCCCTCCGCACATCCACGGAGC